GATATTAATCATATAATGAATTATGTTATTGTAAAGAACACAACTCATAATATTCAAACCTGAATTAATACAAGAAGTTTTTTTAAAAAAAAATTTTATACCAGCTTTTAGGGTACAAAGAATTTTTGAGCGGATTACATTTGCATGCATGACATGCAGCAATTTTATCTTCACTTAGATTTAATTCTAAAAGTTCATCCATGTTACGTATGATGCACATATCCGCGTCTAAAAGCCCTACAAGGTCATACCCTTCGATATCCCAGGCACATATTTTAGTTGACGCTTCCTTATAATAATCAATTATGTATTGTTTCACGTTTAAATAGATACGATTAATCTCTTTTATTTCAATGAAACAAAAGTCATAATTTAAACCGAATTTAATAAGTTTAGTATAATCTTCATTATTAAGATCCGTTTCTTCATTATTGAGATTTGGTACTAAAACAAGAAGAGGATATTTGGTCTTTACGCGCATGAGTGATTTGGCAAGGCATATAACACCTGGAAAATACGATTTCGTAGTCATAAGTGTGACCCAACATTTTCTGGACTCCATTGAGAGAAATTTGTGAGAGAATTTTCGATCCTAACGTTTTTCTCATTTGGTTTTATAATGTATCCAATGTAGTACTATTACGTATTAATGTCAACCAAATTTAGGATGCTAAAACGAGGTAATGTCATTTTAGCATTTTTTTTCTCGGGCAAACTTGGTGTTACTATAAAATTTTGTCATGCATAGTGCACATTGATTAATTGATGTATTAATACGTAACGATAACGATAATCGTGCATCATTTTGAATATAGTAATGTGGCCGCAGAGCAAAAAACCTGATGATCAATTACAGGTTTTCGCTCATATAATGTACAATACATTAATAATATGAAATAACTAAATTTAGTTAATTTAGCTGTTTATCGATTGGCAAACTCATATCTATCGATATTGAAAGACCTAATTATCATTACAGCATTATGTTATGGTATCATATTTATTTCTTAATTTGGTTGGCAAATTTGCATTGAACAAATTATCATCTGAATATTTAGTGAGCTTATAATTACTTAATTATTTATTAATTAGTATTACTTCTGTTGTAATAATATTTGCGAGTTAACCTTTCAGATACGTTCATAATGTTTTTTGACGCAATGTCATTGAAAAGACATCTAGAAATCACATATGTGCCTTCGCACTTATGTGCTGAAAATGCTAATTCCCTTCCTTCCTAGGGATGGGAATCGATTTGAAATCAAAATTGATTTTATAATCGGATAACTTAACCGATTAAACAATTATTGCTCTTTGCAAAAAAAGTGTAACCCCACAATTTTCGTGACACGATAATGGGAAATTTCGGAGATTCTAAATAGTCTATCAATCATATATTCAATCAGTAATAGTTCTATCTATTTTGAAATCAGTAAAATTCTCTTAGAATCGA